TTTCAGTTAGTTTGTCAACGACAACGTTGCCCTGTAGGTAATAAGGTCAACACTGGAAACAACTCGCCTATAAGATGTAGGGTCGGGATAAAAGTTGCGATGTCGACTAGAGAACCTATAGGTGACCAGTTTTCCCTACTGGCTCAAAATTTCTTAAGTGTGCCACTTAAAAATTGATGGTCTCTTTTTTCATCGGTTTTCAATTGGTTTAGGGGTAAAAACAACTTACTTAATAATTACATTTTTGGAGGATGTTTTTTTTCAAAAATTGATTACTCCCAAACGGTTCATAAAAACATTTTTATCGTTGAAAAATATACTTTACGATAAAAAATTTGTTGTTAGGGCAAACCTGTAAAAAAAACTATTTTTGTTTTAAACACTTTAAAATTAATTCCTTAAACTGTTCCGCCTGCGAGGAACTTTTTTCTCATTTTATCTGATTTTATAAAAGTTTTATTTTTTTTAAAGGTTTGCCCCTAACAACAATTTTTTTATCGTTAAGTAAGTATATTTTTTAACAAAAATTTTGATGAACTGTTCGGGAGTAATCAATTTTTGAAAACAAAACATCCACAAAAAATGTACCTACCTAATTATTAATCGGTTTTTTGCAAAAATATTTTAGGAAAGTTGTTTTTACTCCTAAACCGTTTGAAAACCGTATTAATCGATAAAAAATGAGACCATCAATTTTTAAGTGGCACACTTGAGAAATTTTGAGCCTACGCGCCCCGTATCACACCGATATTTGTTTTAAAATGACCACAAATAATGTATAATCGTGTTAGGGAAGGTCTATACATTTTAGTTACAGCGACAGTGTAGAACTAAATTAAGTTTTGAACAAGAAAATAATGAAATCGAAATTTTTACATTAAACCGTTAACTTAAAAGCCAAGAGCATTTTTTAAAAATAGCTAAAAGAAAGGGTGAATATCGAGTAAAATCTGCTAAACGTAGTTGTACAAAATAACTAATGATCAATGAATTTAAATCTAAATCATTTTACGTTTAGTGGACTTTACTACAAAATTTGGGCTAGTAAAATTAAGAACAAACCTTGAAAAATACACAAACACTGGTAACAATTATTTAAACAGAACTTTACAATAAATTTTGTTTTAGCAATAATTTACAAGGAGCGATGCGTTCGCTAACACTTTCAAATACTTGCCTGTTTTCTTGCTTCCCTTTACTCGCTTCGTGTTTGTTAATTGTTGTGAATTAACCTAGCTTAATAAACCATAACAAATGTTGTACATTGAATCCTCGACGGATCACAAATTATTGATGATTGTGCAATTTGATTGAAACCCTCACTTACTTAAAATAACGCAACTTTATTAACTATGTACATTATAAAATGTTGCCCAAAGATCTGCTGATCCTGAAGCGTTAATCTTATGATTGCTTAATATTGACTCTTAAAATATATTAGATAGAAGTGAAAATTACTCCCTTAAGTCAAGTGGCTGTTGCGCCGTAGGCAGACAGATATACTCGCCCTTAGGGTTGACAGCCAATCAAGGATGGACATTATTTGTAACATTATAATATCATTCTAGTACTATAAAATGAATTCTGTCAAAAGCTTACAACTAAAATTGTATTTTCTACAAGAACAAATTTTTTGTCAATTTTTATTTCTAAATAAATTATTTTACTAATAATCTATTTAATGTATATTTGCAATGCCCAAAAATTAATTTAATTGGAGAAAGTGAGGATGGGTTAGTCTAAAAGTTGTTGGATAATTATCACAGATATGTCACCACAAGTGTTTATTCCGTCATCCGGTGATAAAATAATTAACTTTAAGGAAAATATGTAATTCCTCATTAAAAAGTAATATTAGAACGGTCATATTCCGTAATAGGAATAGAAAAAGTATCTTATATATGCACTGTTTAATTTATGGACGTCCATTATGTGTGTTATGTTATGTATAAAATATTCAAATCTGTGCCAAACGGAAGTCTATATAACGTACATAAAACATCCGGGTGACTTTAACGGACGTTCATCTTATATAGAATGTACAGTGGCGGACACGGAATTTCGAACGACATAATTTGGTAGTCCATGTATAAACTTAGACCCAAACTTTAAAACAAGAATAAACAAATTTAACAAAGACATCCAACAACTTATACAAGAATTCAGAAAACATAAATGGATAAATACTTGCGAAGAAATAAATCAACCTAATGGAAAAAATACTGGAGCCAAATAAAAAGACTTTCCAAATACAAAACACAACAGAGAAAGAACAGCACTATTATTGAAAATAACATTAAGTACGCAGAAGATAAAGATATATCTTTATCTTCTGTGTACTTATAAGGTAAAAATTTTCCATAAGGACTAAATCAGCATACCAAGAAGAAAACAATAATAATTTCGACGATTAATTTTAATTTTATTTTTCATGCGAGAAACTCAATTTTCGTGTTTCTTAGCCCTCTCTGCTATGTGTTTTAAATCATTTAACCCATGTTTATTCTCTGAGAGGATAACCGAAGATCACCGAATCATACTCGGCGCCGAAGGAAGGTTTGAGTCCATCCTTAAATAGTAATTACAATGGTGTTACGTATAACTAGAATAATGCACAATGCAACAAATAACTTTTATTACTTTTTATCTGGGCGGTTGGGTGGGCACGTGCCCTTATGCCCTTTAGAACCAGCCACCACAGACCAATGGCACAACACATACAAAAATACCCAATTCAATAGCAACCCACCTGAGATAAAATATTTTGACAAAGTTACAAAATTAAAAAACACTACTCCAGGACATGAAAATGTCATCAGACCGCTAATAAAACAATTTAACATCAAAATTCATCAACAAATCATAAAAATGTACAACTTTTGCCTTAAAACCAGCTAAATACCCTCAGAATGAAAGAAAGGTACAATAATCACAATCCCTAAACCCAATTTGGACCATACAAACGTAAAAAACTACTGGCCCTTTGGTTAACCCAATAAAGACTTTTTTTCTGTAACAAGACTAGTAAAAAACCAGTAAGTTGTCCATTAAGGAAGTTTAGATTTTGATGTCAACGGGATGATAGTAGTTCATTTTCAGGTTCCAGCGCTTGTGAAGGCACGACGCGGGAGTGAAAGCTCTTAAAACGTAAAAATTTAAAGATTAAAACCAACAATAATTTTTAAAAATTGCAAACTAATATAGTGAAACAAACAATTTTCATACGAGTGCAAACTAAAATGGTGTAACGGTCATTGAGAAGTGAAGTATTAAGTGATATGAATGAGTTAAGTGCCACCTGTCATTGGACGCTTTTCACTGGACAAACAAAGGAGGTCAAACAAGAGGGGAGGTGGCCATCCGCAAAAAAATTGATAAGTTACCTTAAGAATATGCATGACCTAATACAAAATCTGCAATTTAAACACGGCAGATATCTTTAAAACCTAAGAAAGGCACACAACGTAGGGCAATAAATCTGTCAACAACAAATGCGTAATGCAATCCCAAACGAAACCGAAAATAAACACTAGACTCACAGAATAAACTAACACATTAATCATTATAACCCTAACACAGTAAAAAAAAGCCTAATAACCAAACTCTACTAGATTTGTAAACATTAGATAACAGAATAATTGCGCTTGTCATTTGTTTAACTAATAAATAAATGCAATACTTAATTTTGGAATTTAAGAAAAAAAGACAAAACTCTACCACAAAACGTGCTTGGGACAAAATTTACGCAAACTTGAACGGAAGATCATTACACTACTAACGACAGACTTACCCGACTACCATCACCAACATCCCCGCGACCTGCTAATGGGCAAAACCATTACCAAAAGAGTAAGAGTAGCCCAATTAAAATACTGGGCCCTCGTCACTCGTAGGCAACGCAACAACATACTACAAGCCACCCTTAAACTAGACCTTACAGACATAAAAGTCGGGAGACCATGCTTCACATATCATGACACGTTAGCACAAAACATGCACTTCTCATAAATTAACAAGACCAGTTGGGAGCAACTAAGCAACAATAAAAAAAAATAAAAACAACTGACACACTTTACCAAGTGCAGGAACTATCTGACCAGGACACGGACAATGACAATAACGAACAAGACAAAGACCTCGACTAGGAAACTACACCCCTGCAGCGAAATAACTCCCCAACTCCAAATAGTAATCCCAAATGTTTGGAGTAATACTAATCGACTGGTCTAGGGGGATTCCGCGTCGTACTTAGTTTTAAGTCGGCGTAATTGTCCCCCAAAAACCAACACCCTCCCGTCCCTCCTCCTTTACCCTACTGGGCGTATAGCATCGGCTCGGCGAACCCGAGAATGGCTATTAAAACTATTGCAGTTGCTGGGGGCGAACAAAAATCGGCGTAAGTAAACATAGGCCTGTACGGGGTCCGAGAGTGATGATGAAATGGGGCTGGTTATACGTCTCTTATACTCATACTCAACGGGATGATAGTAGTTCAAAATACCGTGTCCGCCATTGTACCATCTTGTGCTGAATGGGCTTCTTTCAGGAAAACTCGTTAAACATCCCTTTAGCCCTGAAAATCCTAAAACTATACATTTATTCTTTGGTTTTTAAACTATAAAATATGTTTATTTTTTTATAACATAAGTCACTGCGCCTTAAAAGCACAGCAAATTTATAATTCGTGAATTTTTAGGTTAAAAGGCTCGAAAGATTTCCAGATCTAAACCCTCGCACTTAATTTTTAGAATTTAACACATAATTTGGACTAAGGCTATTTTAAATAATTCAGAAAAAATATGTATAGGTTTTAAATAAAAAAAAAATATTATAAAATTTTATTTACTAAATTATGTATATTTTTATTTTTGTACTGTACATTTATACGGAACTATTATTATTAATAAAATATATTATTACTATCATAAATACATAATACAAAATATGAGCGTATATTATTCACAGATTATAAAGTCGTGTGATCTGTTTTAAATTTTAATTCAATTATCTGGTATCCTATTTATTGTAGGCTTTCGCGATAAACTTAATGGATTTGATAAAGAATATGTTTCAGGTTCAAAAACTGGAGGATATCGTAATCCAGGATAGTCAGCTTGAGGACTGATGTTAACAGAAACGGGTTCAGTCAAGGCAGAAGCATTTTCCAATTCATATGACTCCGGCATGGTAAGCGTCTAAAAAAAATGATTTAATAAATTTTGAAGTTCATAAAAGAATGCAACATATAAATACAATTTTTAAAATATTATTAAAATTAAACATAAAAGTGACTAATATGATTTTATTTTTATTTCAAAATAATCATATCAATATGGTGAACTTGTCCTGTTTTAATCTAATGATATCAATCTAATCATATCAATATGGTGGACTTGTCCTGTTTTAATCTAATGATTTGTCAAGAATGAAATATTTCTTCCCCAAAATAATAATGTAAAATATAGCGCTGGACATGCGTAGGCATATGAGACGCATATGTAAGCGCATCTGTGTAGTGAATGCGCGCAGTTTAAAGACGCACGCGTGCACTCACTGTGCGCGCATCGTGACTACATTTTGCTATCTGGGTTAGCTTATTTTAATAATAAGAGATTTAAATATAGAAAATAAACAGCATTCTCTCTGTTGATGACATGAGCGTAAATTTTTTTATCATATATACCAAATGTAATGTTATGCAAAAAGATTATTTCTTAAATTACCATATTAGGACTTAAATTTAACTTTGTGTCCGAATAGGATTATTTAATTAGGGTGTGCCAAAAAAGGCGGTATCATTTGTTTTTCGCTCTCAAATTCCATAGAAATTACAAGTCTATTATTAATAATAATAATAATATTTATTTATGCTCTAAAAAAATACAAGTTTTTGCACAAGTATCACAGTGTTTAAAGATAATAAGTGAATTATAAATATAATAAGTATATAACAGAAACTAATAAATAACACATAGCTTAAAAAGTATATTAACAGACAAGAAACCTGTATAAAAATAAAATATAAAAATAAATAATAATAAGTTAAGTTAAATCACTAGAATTATTCAATAAATATTTATCTATGGAATAAAAGGCTTTTGTAATTAAATATTGCCATAACTTAAATTTAAATTGTTGGAAATCTATATTTCTAAAAATTATAGGTAAAAAGTTAAAGAAATTGATGTAAAAATTTGTTCCATTTCTTGTTCTACTAAAATCTTAATTTTTTTTAGACAAATATCTTGTCAATTCCTTGTAGCATAATTATTTACAATTTCATGGCTATTATAATATGTATTTTTTTAATGTAAAGCAGACATTCAAAAATAAACAAACATGAAAATGTAAGAATTTTTAATGAAATGATGTATTATTTGCATTCGGCTCGATAAGATACATTTGCTATGATTCTAACTAAATGAACGAATATTCGAGATGACATATATAAGTATTGACTCTAAAAGCACAAAATAAGTTGTTCTTAGATATGGTTTTGATAGCATTTGAGCAAGATTGCGCAATAAAAATATATTTGTTGTTAGATTTTTAGCAATTGCTTCGCCTCGGTTATGCCATAATAATTGTGATTCAATATGTAAGCCCAAAAACTTTGTATGCTCCAGGTTTATATTATACCTTTTGTATATTTTTAAAACTAAATATTAGTAGAGTTTCCTAATCAGAATTTCATTTGAAACTCAATCGAAGGCCTTGCTTAAGTCTAAAAATTTATTCACTAGACTCAAAGCAGTTATTCACTTCACAAATGATAAAATGGCATTACTTGAAAACCAAACTTGTATATGAAAAATAACATTAAGGAATTAAAATGTTTTAAAATTTGTTTAAAGAAAAGTTTTTTAAATACTTTCGAGATAATTGGTAAAAGTAAAATTGGTCGGTAATTATTGACTTGATTTCAACCACCCTTTTTGTATATTGGAACCACAATTCACTTTTTTAAGGTTTTTGGAAAAATATTGGAATTAATACTTAAGTTAATTAGTTTATGATGAAAGATAACAACGCGAACTTCATTAAATAATACTAAAATTAAAATTAGTATTAAGGTAAATTGTCGGTGAGGACATTATTCGTATGGGGTCTTCCTCAGTTGATTATTGATTATTTGATTGGGTATGCTAGAGAAAAAATAATTACAGCTTTCAGAATCTATAGTAGTTCTGTTACCTAACCAAGTTTCATATAGCTTTTGGGCTATTATGTGAGTTTTTAATAAAATCATTGTATGCTGATATTTTGGCGTTTTTTAATTGCTTTTGGTAGTTGTTTTTAAACATTTTTAATATATTTTTATTGCTTAGTGATGTATGAAGTTTGACAAAGTCTTTTTGTTTTTAGGGCCGGTGTAAACCAATTTAGTTTGTTTATTTTTGATTTGTGACTTTTTAACGGTTTTAAATGAAAAAATATACCTACTTAATTAGTAAGTTAAAACATACATATACCGATATCTCAATTATTAGATATGGGACCCACACCAAATTTATATGAGTTTACAATGACATTAAATAAACAAGTTCTGCGCAAGCAGAATTTAAATTGAAGTTTGCGAAAAAAAGATAACCGAAACATCAAACATGGAACTGACGACACGGTACTGATGAATGGGATAATTGTACTGATATTTTTTATTAGTGGATGCTACTTATTAACAAATCATATATAGCCTTATATGAAATATATATACGTAAGAAAATAAATACTCACCACAGTACTGAAATTTCGCCGCTTGCATTGTTTTCAAGATGACTGTCGTGCAAAGAGCGGGCTCTGTAGGTATTTTTTTTTTGACTTGAGTTAAAACGAGGACTTGACTTTAAAATTCAATATTTCGCAGGAATTTTGAATTTTAACATTGGACACAGAACTGACGGGTAAAAGTGAGTACAAAGATGATCAATTTTTTAAAAATTGCTATTATTTTATAGTTTGTAGTGAAATTAAAAAATTCAGTTTTATTTTGACCTTGTTCGTGTATCGTTAAAAAAAATAAAACTAAATTTAGTCGTGAAACTTAAACTCAAATAGTGTAAGGTGTCACATAATGGAAGTGGATGATGAAAATGCAGAGGGAGAATTTACCATACCGGCCTATAATAAGAAAAAAAGAAAAAAAAATAACGACTCAGATACCACTGAATACACAGAAAACGAGATCGCCAAAATTATAGGAGTAAACAAAAACAAAAAGTATACAAAAACAACAAGTGATAAAAACGCTCGTACAAAAAACCAAGCATACCACACACAATCAGATTCAAACACAAGTTATAAAGCTACTCATACACGTCAAACAGCAGAAACAAACAACAATCCCACAGGAGTTCGATTTTGTTGGTGCTAGGGTACGGACCGCTCAATGAAAAGTGTGAAATATAGATGACTTTTCGAGCTAGGAGGAACAAAATTGGATTCCCGGAATAGAAATATTCCTGTTTCTTGATAATATTCCTTGATTGGTCCTTGTACAAGGGATAAAAGGAATTTATATAAATTTATAAATTTTAAGGTTACATAACCTATTTGTGTCCACGTGTTTGTTAGACAACAGTTGTCCAATGGTTTTTGGTTCTTCTGAAATCATTGGACGTTAAATACTAGTAGCTGGTTAATAAGGACTATGTCCAAGCCATAAATCCGCTCTAGTTGAAGAAGAAGAAGAAAAACAATCCTACAACAAGTAACTCATTACTTTCACCGAAAATGCAAGCTATATTTAGAAAAACCTATGAAAACGTTTTCTATATAACTGCTCCAGATGAACTAACAAGAATCCAACTGGCGGACAAATGGGCAACCTACTTAAAAAAGTCAAAGGAAATAATCTTAAAAACACAAAAAGGATTTATTATCAAATCAAACAATAACAAACAAAACACCTTAGCTACCCTTAAAATATTGAAAGATTGTGGTTTTATTAACACATACGAATTATCCAATAATACACCACAACAAACAACTTCAAAAAAAATACATAACCAATCCTTCTCGGCAGTGATATCGACATGTTGACATAGATATTGAAGAAAAAGAAATAAGTGTTGTTTTAAAAGATAACGGAATCGAACACAGGTATTGTAAAAGAATAATCTCTAAAAAAACAAACAAACCCTCCTTATACATAAGAATAATTACAGGAGAGATTTAAGCATATGAAAAGATAATTAACGAAGGGATTTACTACAAATTTCGTTACTATCCAGCATACCCAAGTCAATCTCCTGAACCGCTACCAATACCATGTGCAAAGTGTTCCCAATTTTCCCATACAACTGAAAATTGTAACACAGAGGCAAAATGCTCGAAATGCGCCGGAAATCATAAAGATAGGGAATGCAAAACCAATTTACCCCCATCATGTACAGCTTAAAGTACAGAGCATGTTGCTTGGTCAATTAATAATAATAATAAATACTTTATTGATCCCAAGAAACATAGATTGTTTATAGAGGGACAAACTCTAAACATATAATAATTACAATAAGTATATCTATCACAGTGATAAAACATTATCTTATAAGATAATTACCCACACAGCACAGTATGTGTCAGCTATGTTTCAGATATGTCTCAATGTCTCAAATTACATTTTATTATTTCTGAGATATTTTTGAGATATGTTATTGGAGACGTTTCATTTCAATATTTACAAAATATTTCTGAAATATGGTATTGGAGATGTTTCATTTCATTATTTACAAAATATTTCTGGAATATTTTAGGCGTGTTTCAGCTCGGTTGTTTATTTTGAAATTGTTTTAAATTATGGACGAAAATTCTTTGGGATGAGACTATTTTTTAAAACAACGCTTAAAAACGCCTTGTTAAATTTGATTAAGCAAAATTATTTTAACGGAAAATATAATATTCTATAGTGTATTCCATACCTAAAATATGTGTAGGTAAACGTTATCATGCATTTGACCAATATACCTATACTGAATTTTTGTGTTATATATTATTTTTTTCTTTAATAAAGCGTTTTTATTCTCTATAAAAGAAAAACAAAAACGCAATATTCTGAGAAAATAAAATAAATCATATCTATAAAATCTATATACATCTATAAAAATAAAATAAACATCAATGCACATTCGAATAAACCGCCATCCTTAGCACGCGAACGTAGTACTAGATGGCGCTACACAGTTTTAGCTGACAGTGGGTATTGCAGATTGCGTTCTATGGTATGTTTTGTGACGCCATTTTTTATGCGTAGATTAGATTGGCTTTATGGCAGTTTTGTTACGCGATTTTAGTGTAATTTATGTTTTGTGATTTAAATAATTTACCTAAATGTTATTATACTACCTATATATAATAATTATAGTGATGTTTTGAAACAAAGGTTGAATAAAAAAGCAAAGCAAACGTTGGTTTCGGCGAAATATTGTGTGTAAAACTAAGGTGAGTCATTTTGAAAAGTTTTTTAATATTATTAATTGTTTCTATAATAAAGTAAAAATTAGGGTAGGCGAACTTTAAAGACAATTGTCTCTTAATGCATGGGTACAATAAGGTTATTGCTACTTATTTGTAAATGGCTTTCCAACTATTGGTTTTCTATTTTGCTAGCAATTTGTAAATAATGTGCTAATTTATTAGTGAAAATGCAATGAAAAGCTTCCGGTTTGCTGCAAGGGTTCTAAGCATGGTTTATTTCATAAACTATATTTATTGTTATTGTTATAATTGTATTGTTTTTTCACTGTCAGACAATCAACAGCTACCTATCTTCTTAATTAAGTAATTAATCTAATTATTATTATTATTAACCAGGAAATTCAAAGCATTGATCTAGATGGATGAAATAAAGCAAGGAAAAAGCTATTCCAAAAGGCACCTTCGGCGTATTGCCAAGGCACAAACTGCATTTGATTTGGAACAAATTAGGTGAATTGCATTTTAATCCACACCATCTACTTTAGACTAAAGTCTTTAGTCTCTGTTATTTTTTTATTTATAAGAAAAACTTAATCAATACAAGTAATTTACAACAAATAACCTTTAAAAATTCCACCCCGTTAATAGTATTTTACCATAAATCGTTTTTGTTTATTTAGTTTACTACTCGATTTATTATAGGTAGACCTATTATAGGTATAATACCTGTATAACATGTTTAGTCTTTTAATAAAAAATTTTCACACATAACTGAGTATAGGTATACCTATAGAATATATTTATTAGGGTGTCCGTTATTTCACAAGTTGTTATTTTTTAATAAACGTAAATTACTTTTTTTGTAGAGCATACAATTTTGTACAAAAATATGTCTTGTACAATATATAATAATAATATTCTACAAAAATATATCTTGTACAATATTATATAATATTGTACAAGACATATTTTTGTAGAATATTATTATTGAATTAAGTATTAAACTTTTATTTATTAGCGAGTCATTAAAATGTCATTTAGGCAGGGTTGAACGACATCAGATTTTTTTTAATGGTTTTTATACTATAAATAAATAATTTAATAATACCCTAGTAAACAACTTAAGAAAAAACGGACATCCCACTATTCATATTACTTAAAAAAAATTGCATTGCTCATTTATAAATTAAAAAAAAAAGAATTAAAATTTTCCTAGTAAGTTAGAGATTTAACTTACCTATACCCGTTATATGTTAGTTTTAATATAAATAATATTTTTCTGTGTTTAAGAAACAATGAATGGGCTCCTGTGCCTACTTCTCAACCTGTTTCTGTTAAATCCTCAATGAATCATGCCCAAATAGAAGAGTTACCATCAAGGTTAAATTTAAGTCCCCAGTGGAATTTTAACCAGCTTGAGAATATAGAACAACAATCATCTCCGGAATACAATATTTCTTCTGATAATTCTGTTTTAAGCCTTTCAATTAACAGTGACTTTGATAATTCAATAGAAGACACTCCTTCTGTTACCCCAGATGTTACAAATATACCAGTTGATGAGCAATTTCAAAACCATATTGCACAGTGGTCTATTAAATTTAATATTTATCAAAATGCTCTTTCAGCACTGCTTGTAATTCTTAAAAAATTCACCAACATTAGCTTTCCAATAGATGCTCGAACCCTTTTGAAAACCCCCAGAAGTTCGGATATTTATGAAATTGGTGGAGGTCAATATTTTCATTTTGGTCTCACTCGCGCATTAGAAAGCTTTAAAAACTCGTTTAATAATGAACACAATAATACCATAGAGCTAATGATTAACATAGATGGTCTACCCTTATCAAAATCGTCTAATGCTTCCTTGTGGCCCATCTTATGTTCAACTAGGTGTTCCCTCTTGCAAGAGGTGGCTTTAATAGGAGCTTATTTCGGCAATGAAAAACCAAAAGATTCAAATGAATTTTTAGAAAAACTTGTAAATGATTTAAAAAATTTGATCAATAATGGTTACAGCCTTAATGGCAAGACCTTTAACGTGCGTCTCAAAGGACTTATATGTGATGCACCTGCAAAGTCCTATGTTTTGAAGGTAAAAGGTCATGGAGGGTACAACAGTTGTACAAAATGCATAATAGAGGGTAACTATTTAGAAGGTAGATGCTGTTTTCCTTTAGAAAATAATTTAAGTCAGTTAAGAAATGACTTAGAGTTTAGAAATTTTGCATATGATGATTATCAAACCGGACAAACGATTTTAACTGAAATACCAAATTTTGATATCATATTAAATACTCCACTAGACTACATGCATTTGGTGTGCCTTGGAGTAGTAAAAAAATTAATTTCACTTTGGTTGGAAGGTCCTGTTCATTTGAGGCTACGTGGGCAAAATATAACATATATTAATGAAGAACTTGCTTCACTAAGGAAGTCAATACCTTTTGACTTTGTGAGGAAACCAAGAGCATTAAAATTTTTCAAAATGTGGAAAGCCACTGAATTTCGCCAAATACTGTTATATACAGGACCCTTAATTTTTAAAAAAGTCCTAAGGGATGATGTTTATAAAAATTTTGTTACATTGCATGTTGCTATAAGAATATTGGCAAGTAACAGTCTTTCAAAACATGTGAATAATATTGATTATGCTAAAGATTTATTGATATATTTTGTTAAAACCTTTCAAATTATTTATGGAAACCAGTATGTATCCCATAATATTCATAACTTGATACATCTTGCAGATGATGTGAAAACTTTTGGCGCGTTAGACTCATTTAGCGCATTCAGATTTGAAAATTATATGTCTAAGATTAAAAGTAAAATTAGGAAAGCTGATAGACCTCTTCAGCAATTGATGAGGAGGTGCGAAGAAGAACAAGTTGTTAACTCTGATAGAGACTGTACGTCAGTAACTGATTTCCAGCTAGAAAAACCACATGCTGAAGGACCCTTGCCAAAGCAAAATTTTGAAGTTCAAACGCAATATAAACAAATCCGATTGAAAAACTTTTTATTGAATTCTAAAGATCCAAATAACACTTGTTTTTTAAATGATGGACAAATTGTGTGTGTTCACAATGTATTGTTAAGTAAAAGTGGCGTTTATATTTATGGCAAAGCATTATCTAATTTCGAAAATCTTTATAATGAACCATGTGAATCAAAAAATATTAACATTCAAATAGTAAAAGAGACAACCTTTGGTCTTTGGAATGTAAATAAAATAGAATCCAAAGCTTGGAAAATGCCAGTTGATCAAGGCTTTGCAGTTTTTCCCTTGTTGCATATTTAAATATCGACTAAGCAAATGTTTCGTTAAAATACAGATTTTTTCAAAAATGGGCAAATATACCATAGTGGAATTTGAGGACGGACTGCAACTAGTTCCCACCATATGGATAACAAACAACATTTGTAGCTGGCCAAAATGCCCTGTACAGATAGAAATAAACAAAGCAATTGAAGCTGCCAAGGCTCCGCAAGCTAATTGGACCACTTATAGAATCTTAAAAGTCTTTGGAAGTGCAGGTAAACCTTTATTTGTAATATTGTGTATTTTTTTTACTTAATTTAAATTTGCAGATTCATATGTCGATGGAATTCGTAAACTAAAATTAGCTGAAAAGTTTTCCGACGTGGACAGCAACTCGGATATAGAGACATCAAAAAAGAAAAGGCAGAGTAGGGCTAAAAAAATCATCTATTCTGATGATGATGCCGAAGATCAGCAACCACAACGGAAGTCAAACATTCTTCCCCCTCCTCCACGGCCTGTTACTTTAATTAAAAATATAACTGTATCAAAAATAGCGCCTAGTTCAGAAAATATAGAGGTGCCGCAGTGGACCCAGAATGCATTAGATGTTGACGAGGAAGAATATTCTGAAGGTAAAAAATATCTATTTTAATAACTTTGTAATAAAATTTTCGTTTTAGTTGAAAACACTTTAAGCCAAAGTTTTGAGGCATCAGTGCAAAGAAATACAAATATTGTCAAACATGTAAATAAAATAGAAACTAAAGCAGACACAGGTATGAATATTCTTTTTTTATTTTAAATAAATATGTTCACTTGGCCTATAAAGGTTTCTTAGTATAATAAAACATTACGTAACTTATTTCTATAGATCCTCATCTGCCCATGATATTAAGAAAACTGAACGCAATAAGCCTTAAAATAGATATGGTGAGGGATGAGGTAAGATCACTTAAAATTGACAAAGAAAATGATCCTAAAGAAGCTGGTAGTGAAATAGATTTTGATATTCCCCTAAGGAGCATGGACCAACTAGAGCAAATGGAGCGAGAAGTAGAAAATTCAGAATACTACAAAAACCTGGTAAGTACATATGCTTATCTACTTGGGCGTTTATTTACTGACACTTATTTTTAAATTTGCCGTAGGTTACTTTTTTAAAAGGTATTGGTAAAGGAAATTCCATAAACGATGCTACAACCATGATTTTAAAACGACTATTTATAAATGAATTAGCTGTGAAGTTTACATTTGGTGGACACAAAAAGAATAAAAGGTGCTTTAAGGAACTCTGCCTCCACAAAATTGTTTTAAGTAAGTCATAATGATATATATATATATATATATACATATAATAATATTAATAGATATTTATTGATCATCACATCATACAATATAAACCATTTTTTTTGTAGAAGTTGTGCGTCTCCATTTCAATCAAAGTACTGAACAGGAAATTAACAAGGCAATAGAAAAATGGTTAATTCAAGCAAACTTAAGGCTAACCAGAGAACAAGCGGTAATAAATCGTAATATTTATTTAAGTTTTTTAATTATAATTACTTACTCTTTTTAGAAACAAAACGACACTATTGCTGAATGAAAACTATTAATGAAGTCAAGTACCCCCACAGCGAAAATACACAATTATTTTATATCTAGAAAACTAGGAAGAGCCATTTTTGATATGCGTTCCTTATCTTTTATTTAGGTGTGCATTGACCCTAAGACATGAGATTTTTTCGTTTCTTTTAATTTTTATATTTTTATATTTATGTCCAAATTCGTTTATACATAATTAATGTTATTTTTTTTGTTAAGCCATGCTAGACTACACAATTTGTCGGGTTCCTCGATCTGCAGAGCGACCTGGTTAGATTGGGTGTTGTAAACGTGTCGGGTCGATTTTTTAGTTGAAAACCATTAACATCCAAATTAAAATAGTTTTAAAATTTAAATGTCAATGTTTTTAATGTAAAAATCGGCCCGACACGTTTACACCACTCAATCTATAGATATAAGATCCCTTTGCAGATCGCCGGATCCGACAAATTGGGTTGTCTAGCCCAGCTATGTTAAGAATACGAAATTTTGTTTTTGCGTTCCTTATCTCTTATTTAGGTGTGCATTGACCCTAAGACATGAGATTTTTTCGTTTCTTTTAATTTTTATATTTTTATATTTATGTCCAAATTCGTTTATACATAATTAATGTTATTTTTTTGTTAAGCCATGCTAGACTACCCAATTTGTTGGGTTCCTCGATCTGCAGAGCGACCTGGTTAGATTGGGTGTTGTAAACGTGTCGGGTCGATTTTTTAGTTGAAAACCATTAACATCCAAATTAAAATAATTTTAAAATTTAAATTAATTAAATTAAATTTAAAATTTAAATGTCAATGTTTTTAATGTAAAAATCGGCCCGACACGTTTACACCACTCAATCTATAGATATAAGGTCTCTTTGCAGATCGCGGGATCCGACAAATTGGGTTGTCTAGCCCAGCTATGTTAAGAATACGAATTTTTGTTTTTATTAAAATTAAAAAGCAATAAAAAAATTGTCAGGAAATATTTTACAGATGTTTTATTTATACATTCCAGTAATGTATCCAAAAAATATTTCTGAAACATCAATAGGAAACATCCTCCTAATGTATCAATAAGATATTTCTGAGACATTACAAGAAATATTTCCAAAGGCGGACATTTTGTTAACTCTGAAAGATTTCAGACATATTTCTATAACATTATGAAACATCGCTGCAACATGTCCAATGTTGCAATGTAACATAGAAGATATATTTCCTAGATGTTTTTGTGCTGTGTGGGTATAGTCTTACAAATATACAATATACAAACATACTTTATACATTAATTTACATATTTACTGAACTTTTTTTTTTCAAATTCAATACTCAAGAAGAAGACACGCAGGTTAGCCTCTTATCAAGGATTGAAATACTCTTTTATATGTCTTGTCGATTTTTTTTTATATCTTCTGGTAAGCTGTTATATATATTAACACCTCTATATAATAAACATGCTTTACCATACTTTGAAAAGACGTGTGGAACTGCTAAATTATTATTATTTCTTGTGTTGTGTAGATGTATTTCATTTCTGGCTTTAAAATTAATATTCGTGTGTTTCTTCTAAAGTATAGAACCATGAACAAAGCTACACACCTGATATTTATAAATATTATCAATGGACATTATTCTAAAGTTGGTATAAAGATCTTCTGAATGATATCTTGAGGGTAAACAATACAGGTTCTTTATTGACTTGTTTTGAAGAGTTTTTAGGGGCCTTATGGTGACAGCACTAGCCGTATACCATACCATCGTTAGATATTGCAGGTGAGAGTGTATTAATGAATAATATATTGATCTTAGATATTGTTTTGGGACATTATTATTTAATTTATATAGAATACCTATGGGTCCAGCAATTTTGCTTCTTAATTTATTAATATGGTCTCGCCATGACAGTAATTCGTCAATTATTAGCCCAAGGAATTTAATATTTCTAGAATATTTTAGACTCTCACCTGCCACATCCAATGGTTGCCTATCAAATAAGTTACGCCTATAGATATACATATACGAGGACTTGTCAATATTCAAAGTTAGCTTATGAGATTTAAGCCAACTCAAAATCATCTTCAAGTCACAAACAATATTTCTCCTAATTGAGTCATAAGTGTCTGAGAAGTATACTAAGGTTGTGTCGTCGGCATATAATCTAATGTTTCCCTTAAGCTTTAAATTTGTTATTGAATTTATAAATACTATAAAAAGTGTGGGTCCTAATATAGACCCTTGCGGTACTCCAAATTTTATTTCAATTTTGTCACTGCTTATTTTGTTTATTACAACTGCCTGAGTTCTATTCCTTAAATATTCCTCAAACCATTTCACTCTTATACCTAACAGTTTTAATTTTTTTAAGAGTATAGAATGACTCACTGTATCAAAGGCTTTACAAAGATCCAGCGACACCAGTGCGCATTTATATGATTTGTCTATGTTCATTTGAATATCTGTTACTAAGTCCACTGCAGCAGAGCTGGTATCACTGCATCTTCGAAAACCATATTGAAGCTTTGAAAGGAAGTTTATAGAGTTTAAATAGCTTATAAGTTGTCTGTTTACTATACTTTCTATGATTTTGGAGAATAGAGGCAAAACAGATATTGGTCTATAATTGTTCACATTTGATTTCTCACCACTTTTATAAACTGGTATCACCTTAGCAATTTTCATAGCACTTGGCACAGATCCACTTTTTAATGACTGGTTTATAATTCTACTTAACACTGGTAAGATCTCGTTTTTGCACTGTTTAATCGAATTTACGTCTATATTATCGTATCCTGGAGATTTCGCCGAGTCTAGTCCCTCAACCAATTTCAAGACTTCTTCCTCAGTTACTGGTACAAAACTGAACAGCTCATCACATCCGGTTTCTATTTCCATGTCCAAGGGCATATCTGGAATTTTGTCTGCTAGTTTTCTAGCAATGCTAGTGAAATGATTGTTCATTGTGTCACATACACTTCTCTCATCATTAACAATGTTGTTACCATCCTTTATTGAATATATATCTGTATTGTTTTTTTGTTTGTTGTTGATTAACGAATTTATAACCTTCCAGCATTTTTTTTGGTTGCCTCCTATATTTGCGAATTTATTTTTATAAAATCTAAACTTCGCTTGTCGAATTTCTTTTTTGGTGGTTTTATTTATTTCAGCATATTTAGTTTTTATAAACTCATTTCCAGGGTCATTTTTTATTTTATGAATTTATTAATTTAAATATTGTGTTATTAAACCATGGCTTGCTGTCTCCCTTAAACTTATTTTTTAAGGTAACACTAGTTGTGTTTTTTGTAAAACACAATATGAGTTTTTCATAGTTGTCATCCACACTATTGTCCTCAGTATAATGGTGATTTAAGTTTGTTAGATCAGCCTTAATTTTTTTTAAGTCTGTTATTTTTTTTGTAAAACTGCGTATTGTGTTACCCTTAATTCTTGTATTAATTGTTACTATCTGAAGTTCGTGATCACTTATTGAGCTTCCTATCACCGATGCTTTGCAAGTTTGTAAATTGGAGTTGGTGAGAATGTGGTCTATAAGTGTGGAGCTGTCTTTAGTTATTCTTGTGGGCAGTAGTTTATTTACAAACTCAAATCCATTACTTATACATAGCTGTTTGTATTCTAAGCTGGCATCTCCTAGAATGTCCATATTAAAGTCACCTATAACATAGGTCTTTAGCCTTTGTGAGCTGCTCAGTTTCTCCTCAATAAAGTGCATGGTCGAGTCCAAACTCTTGAAATCCGGAGGTACATAGATGGCCCCAATATTTATTCCAATATCTGTTATGTTTACAGAGACATAGGATATATTTCCATGGTTAACTTCATTTATTTTGTACTTAATGTGGTCTTTTATGAAAATCGCTGCTCCTCCTCCTTTTATTTTTCTGGTAGCATATTCTGCATTATACCCTGGTATGTTATAGTAAGGAATATCTTCAGATTTAACCCAAGTTTCGGAAACCACAATGATATCTATATTATCCTTGATTGTGTATAACATTATTTCTATTAAGTCAATTTTGTTTTTTATAGATCGACTATTAAAATACAATACATTTACTAAACCAGCGTTATGCATAGCCTTGTCATTATAATCTATCAAGTCTACATATTTTTGCACATCACCCATAAAGAAAACAAATACAAAAACATTATATCACATACTAAGTATCTATTTATCACATGTTTAGACTGCTACTGCAGTGAGACTCTCTATTTGTTTTAGGCTTTTTAATTTTATGATTGGAGAATCATCAATTTTTCTGCAAAGAACATTTCCGTCCTTTTGCCAGACATATTTGTAGTCGTGTTGTCTTAGTGATCTAGCCTTATTAAATAAAACTCTGGATTCATATGGTATGTCCTCATTTATGTAAATTTTAGTGTTTTCTCCCTCAATATTGCACTTTAATGAATCCATTTTACCTTCTTTTTTCCTATTTTATAGTATTTTGTTCCTATCTTCAGTATTTTGAAGCATTACCAGAACAGGCTTGGATGGGTTCTTACTTGACAGTAGTTTTATTGTAAAACTACACTCCACGTTTAAGGTATTAAATATTTTTTTTACATCTTGCTTAAGTTCATTGTCTACAGTATTTTTAAGCCCAACTATAACCAAGTTTTTGTCATTGTTTTGATTATCATCTTTTGATATTTTTGTTTTTAGTATAGTTACTTCCTAAATGTCCAAAACGCCCCATGAAACCTATTGAAGGTATTCCAAACATTAAAATTCGTTCCTTAAACAAAACTACAAGTGAAATAGACAAGAAAATTACAAAAAATCAAAAAATTCATTCGGCGGTGACAATTCATGATTATATTATCAATACGCACAAAAAAAATAAATAAACCAACAAATACAGATAGGCAAGAACTAATTTCTAGATTACAAAAACGTTTTATAGACGGTTTTAATATAAACACTGTGCCAACATTTGTGGGAAATCGCCTGTACATTTTGATGTTCGATTTAGATGAAGAAAACAGTCACTCCCAAACAGAACCCAATGATGGAATCCAATTTCATGTCAACAACAATTAAATTTATTTATTCAAACATCAACAGCTACATTACAAAAAAACATTTAATTAACCACTATATTGAACAAAATAATATTCAGCATTCAGCATGTTTGTAGAGACAAAAACAAACGAAGATCGTTCCATGCAATATAGGGATTGGACAACCATATATAAACATGGCAACATACTCAACAATAATACAAGAGGGGGTGCTTTGGTTCAAGGTGATCGCAGGCTTAAAATAAGTAAATAAAATCCTCCACACTTTAACAACCCCTACAATGATGTGTTACATTTTACTATTCCTTACAAAACCGACAAAATACACTTTTTTTTGGTTTACATGCACCATAGTAATAGATTAATAGAGGAAAATTTATTTACGAAAGCATCACAGTACAAATATGCAATTATCATAGGAGATTTTAATGTTACAAATAAAAGAAAAAAACAAATACAAAACTTTTTAAACAATTCAGATTTCACCCAAATGCACACCCCTCCTACTTTTATAATGCCCAATAATAGTGACACTACTCCAGACATTTTGCTCTGTACAAAAAACATCATTAACAATATCACAGAAGTAGAACTAATACCTGATTTAGGATCCGATCATCTTGCCATTCAATTTAACTTTGATATAGAAAAAAATCCACAAACCATTCCAGAAAACATCAAATATAATTT